CTGGCTTGTTGTGCGGGGTGGCTTGCCCCGGCCACGACCAGCCGAAGAGGCACCGGAGTTGCTGGGCAGAGTGTCTTTCAACTCTGCCTCCTCCGGCCCCTTGGGTACTGGGGGAGCGGCACGAGGGTTGTGCCGCTCTTTCGAAGAGGAGGTCCTCTCTGAGGAGGTCGGGCGGGAGTTTCGCCCCCTCTCCCCGGGAGAAGACCGCGAAGTGCGGACAGGTGCGGCATTTGCCGGCCTGCCTAGAACCAGCGAAGCAGCATGAGCACTTCCTCCATGAAGAGGGGGGCACTGCTGCCCCGGCTGGGGGGTTGGGGCCCTGAGGGCTGCCTCCAGAACCTCAGGTGAGATCTGGGTAGCCCTCGACTCCGAGCGTGGCACAAGACCCCTCCGTGCCACGTCGGCGTACGATTTCTTCGACATGAAGGAATACCTTTTCTTCGCTTCGCTATAGCTGATATTTTCTTTGGCTTTAATGGCAATGATTTCCTTCTCTTGCTTCCATATGGAACTGCCACGATAGTAGGTAGGGTGTGGTCCATCGCAATTAACGCTGTGGGCCACATTCTCGAAATTGTCAGAGATGTGATCCTGACTGCCACACTTTGAACAAGTCTCCTTCCCTCGACAGCTGCGTGTTCCGTGACCAAAACGCTGGCAACGGAAACACCGCTGGGGGTTGGGGACAAAAGGGCGGATGTGGCAGTTCAGGTATCCAGCCTTGATTGTTTGTGGCAGTGTGTGTCGTTCAAATGTAAGGATGACGTGTTTTGAAGGGATTTCTTCACCATATTTTTTGAACATAATCGGTTTTACGGCGACAACGCCGGCACCTTGGAGTCCCTCGAGGAGTTCTTCCTCACTAGTGTGAAGGAAGTCGTCTTCAGAGAGGACTCTACGGATGGTGTTCAGTGTGCGGTGAGGGCTCACCGACACTTTCACATCAAGTATGGTGTTCAGCTTGAGAAGCGCTTCACTTTGCTTTTTATTATTTATCTCAACAAGGAGGTCTCCTGAGTAGAGTTTTTTAGCCTTGTAGGAAAACCCTACAAGGTGTTCAAGTACTTTGGCGATGACAAATGGTGAAAGCTTTGACACAGGTTTCTGTTCATCGAGAGAATGAAGAACGAAAAACTTCGTGAAGTTTTCTACCTCTGGCTCTTTTTCAATAGTCTTGTGTTCAGGGCAGCGCCTTTTAACGGCTTGCCCCGAACGGGGTTTGGAAGAGAGGGGCGCCATAAGAGGGCAAGGAGCGTTCGGAATCTGTGGCGCGCCGCCCACCACGGAGCCCAACGAGGGAATAGGTAACACCCCATAACAAATATGGCTTTGCTGGAAGCATTACTCTATTAGCGCTACCCAGAAACTATAACCAAGTGTGGATCTGGACGAGAGTATCTGTCACCACCCAAGGTTAGCCCTTGCCGCCAAAGGAGTTGAAAAAGGAAAGAAGGGAAATGAGAAGAGTGAAAAGAAGAAGAAGACAAGGGTGAAAGAAAGGAGGGGATAGTAGAAGGGGCGACTAGGCTGAATTATCCTGGTCGGGCCAAGCCAGGACTCCCGTCTACGGGAAGCGGGGGCCGATGTGGTGTATTGCCTCGCCCGGGGGGCCCCGAAGGGTCCAAACCTACCCCGGGCTCGGCTCAACCACCAGGATGCCCTTTTCCCCGGACACGGGAAAGCCACGCACAGCCAGACGTGGGCGGGCGAACCCGCATGGCTCGGGGTCCGTGGAGACGCCACTCTCCAAACACCTGCTTTCACAGGTGCCTCCTGCGGGGGTTGGCCATATTTTTTATATATAGGAAAGTGAACGTAAACGACTTAAAGCAATGTTCCCACAAAAACAAATTCCGATTTTTTTTTTTTTTTTTTAGGTTTTACAAAGGAAATGCAGCGACATCCGAGGGGTTGCACGCTTATGGTGCACACAAAACTGCGCAGAGTCACACTGCACAAAGTCATTTTCCCGCTAAATTTAGCGAAGAAATGTCTCTGCTAACCGTGAAGCTTTCATGGGACGTAACGTGGCGCTATGGCGTCACGTGAAGCTGTGACGTCACGCCAAACCTTGGCGGTCGCGTCGTACGATGGCCCACACAGAACAGACCCGAGTATCTGCTGCAGAACCTCGCCGGAAACGGTTGTACCCCGTAATAAGTAATAAACTTTCGGAAGACAGTGCCTTCGTACACACTAAACGTCTTTACACTTATGATCGTATAAAAATTCGTTTTTTTTTTTTTTTATAATGCGTTAGTATAAGTACCGACATGACAGAGAAAAGCTCACGGCGACCGTCTGTGGATAAAAACAGTGGAGAGGAAAGCGCGCCGCGTAGAAAGGAGGAGAGCATTGAAGGGGGACAAAGGAGAGAGGGAGGCGACGTCACGGGGTGGAAGCCAATGCACGCGCGGGGATGCTGGGGCGACTCTGAAATAGCAGGTGTGCGGAGCGCGTGTGCTTTGCTTTGTGCAACAAAATGTTGTATGAACCAAGTACTAGCACTTGCCCACGTAGGCGTCAAAAGATTGAAGGAATATTCATTGACGGATTGGTAGAGAATGCGTTAGCATGACACTTGGGAAGCGCCTTAAACGTCCCCATTTGGGAAACGCTGACACTTACCCTGTAACCAAGCCAAAAAGAGGCAGCAAACGTTATAGGAAAGAAAAGAGAAAGCCAAGAGAAAAGCCAAAACAGAAAAGGGAAGGGGTCAGCGTTAGCGTTTCCCGAATGGGGACGTATGTAACGTTTCCCAAGGGTCGAGCTAACGCATTCCCTAAGGATCCACCAATGGATCTTCCTTTAACAACATTTTAGCACATATTCGGTTCTTATAGTAGGTGTGAAGGGTTGACTGTGGTGTATATGAACATAACATTCTTCGTACGCCCTTAGTACAGCCTACAGGAACCGAAATCGTGTTAAAAGGGTGTACGTGCTCCTCGTTACACGTTCACTCTGACAGTGTAAAAAGGGCGTAATGGTGATCGTATTCTATACACTCATGCTCTATATGTTTATCGCTTTTACCAAACATTGGCATGAAAGCAAAGTGGTTGGTTGGGCTAGTTGGTTCACAGTTTAAAATATATAAAAGCGCCGAAAACAACAAGGACAAAAAAAGATGTCACACAACATAAAGCGCTTTGTGTTGTCTTACTGCTTCTTCGTCCCTGTTGTATTTGGTGATTTTATAACTTTTTTTTAATTGGCATAACGACAAGCAGCAGACAAGAATCATGGTTGATTGGTTCAGCTCTTTCTGCACACGCTCACTTCAAACGGCCAAAAACGTATTATTCTTTTTATGGCATAAATAAAAAAAACATCGCATTCTTGTTATTTAGCATTACAAACAACGCGTCAATGTCTACAATAAAATATATTTAATTGATTCCTCTTGCAGCCTTCTCATCGACGAGGCCATGAGGTAAGGTCACCGTGCGACACGAAGTGTAGTTGTACGCCTTAGGAGAAGGCTCGCATTTGAATTTGACTGAAAACGTTTCTCTCGTCTAGGAAACGCAAGGAAAAGGAAGAGAGGTAAGTTCCTCGATGCGGACATTTGTGTGCCCGGAGATAACACGGGTTCGGTGTGCCCTCAGGAAAGAAGAATTGCGACATGAGCGACTGTAAGGATTACTGCTTTGTGTTTGTTTATCGCTTCAGTCTAAGAGCTGCTTTCCCTTCCTCTCATCGCTTTTATCATTTAAACACCACAAGTCCAGTAAATGCCATAATTGTTCATGTATCAAGACATATCACATCTCTTTCAAATTATGTTTATCTGCGAGGATTACAATGCGAATGCTGACCTCTAGCATGCAATGACTGCACAGTGCCAAACATAATTTGGAGTGTGACTCTTTTGCTTTCCCCGTTTCTTCACCTTTTTTGTAAATTTGGTAGCTGTTGTATGCTGTTTCCTCTTCGCTCAAGTTTGTATTAAATACGACTTGTCTAATTATATTAATGAAGTTAATGTATATTGTTGTGGAATTAATGCTCTTGCACCTTCTTGTGGAGTCCTAGTTTGGTGTTTGATGTGCAGCCTCTTTAAATATGTGTATCCTGGTTGGGTACCACTGACCTCAGCGTTGTCATTCGTGACTTCTTTTGTATGTTCGGGTTCTTTGTCTTGCCTGTCTATTTAAGGTAATGTTTTTGTGAAATGTACCTCAGCTCAAGATTCACGTTGATATGTCCATCTCTTTCCCTATTCGACAGGGTTAAGAATGTCAGCTCTAAATAAACTTGTGCTCTCGCTTTCCAAGAACGTTGTACTTCTGTTGCCCGTAAGGCTCGGGGTGAAGCTCTGGACAAATCGTGCGTACGCCTTGCATGTGGCAAATACGATCTTGCAGACCACTTGCACATGTGTCTGTTGTTTCATTTGTACCTTGTTCGGCTGAAGAATGAAAGATGTTGCGAACGGTTTCACGAAATGTGGCATTGCAGAGTTCAAACAATTTCTTTCGCTGGTTGCTCGCGTTTAAGGCGGCAGTTGTCAAAGGGGTGAAGACGAATTGAGGTGGATGACGATGCATTCATATCATGCTATGCTTTGCTGGAGGGGAGTTGTCATGCGAGGAGAAATCTTTCGAATTTGTAAAATTGGTAGAACCTGGGCGGTCGGGTGAAAATTCCCGTCGGTGATTTCATTGAGAGTTAAATTTTCTGTGAAGACTCTGCGTTGTAGCTTGGCTCCAAGTATGTATCGATTAATGCTAAATAGATATATGTAAGGCCGAGGACTGTGGGTGATGAAAAAGCTGATAAGCTCAAACATAACTCGGTGTTCCAAGATGAGCACCGGTCGCGAAAGGCCGACCAAAGCGACCCCTTTTGGTAGCACAGACGACCAATACGGCTAGAGCCACAACCGCACCAACATATCACGGCACCTGTCGATCAAAACACCCAATGTTGAGCGCAGGTCGGAAAGACACTTGGCTCGACATTCCGCCGACGGGTGTTTCCTTCGTCCAGGAACAAGCTGAACAGGCGGCGGCTCGGGGGTCGGCGGCTTCTGAAGGGCGAGCTCGACCCAGGGCGCCTCGCGAAGCGCATGAACGTTTCGGCCACTGAGGGGTTGCGAGTCATACCGACCGGACTGCTTCGCCGCATTACCACCGACAAGCCGAAACTCCCCAAGGGCATGCCGTCGCCTTTCGCCGGCAAGGCACTCGCTTCTGCTGCTGAAGGTATTCGACTGTCGTCGGGGCTCACGGTACCCGGGGCGCGTCTGCCACCGATGTGTTAAGATTCCTATACCGCAAAAGCATCACGAGAGTGCTCCGAAGGGGACAACAAATGACGTCATAAAAGTCGGAGTGTCGTGGTGTCGGTTGTTGCGATCCCGGCGGTCGGGCGTAGAAGTTTTGTAGAAAAAAGGCTCGAGGTACACCTAACCACTTCTTGTGAGTTGTGAATGCGAAAGCTTGCATGCACCTCTTCCGCTCCCTTAAAGGACCCATGAAACGAATTTTGGCTGGAGTAAATCAATTTATATTGGGATTTTACTAATAGCACATCGTTCAGTGGGCCAAAAGAACAAAGGTAGAAAGTCAGAAGCCTGAATTTCGCTACAAAAATTTGCAAAACATAGCGGACTATTTCGTACCTCCTTCCCTTCGTAAACTCTCCGCCTTTTCACAGTGATACATCCGCGGACCCCGCAGCGCGTCACCGGGCTACTAGCCACCATAACCGGGCCCCCGCAGCGCGTCACCAGGGCCCAAGCGCACGTCACACGACACCGGACCTCACTTAATCCCTTTACCCCTGAGCTGACATTGCGGTGGAAGCTACGCGCTTGCCGGACCAATCAGCCGCCTCCCTTTTATCACCTGACCTCATTCTCTGCGGGTCGGTATGCGCGAGAGGGCGTGATCACGTGGAAAATGTGTGGCTGGCCCAACGAGCACGTAGCTTCCACAGCACTGTCAGCTTCGGGGTGAACGGGGTGGGGAAAGCAACTAGTCGGAATTTTGAGCGACGGGCTAATCTTCTAGGGGGACAATGGCTGTGTCCGGGCTACACAAGCGAGATTCCGAGCAAGAGGGGACTCCCTTCTTTCCGACTTCTTGAACTGTTTGGTACAATGCGCGATTTATGAGTTGAGGAGGAAAGCTAAACAGAAAAAAGTTGAAAAAGCGTTTTATGACTGGTCCATACGCACATTCGCGTTTCAACGCGTTTGAGTGCGTTGCGGAGTCCCTGCGGCCAGGAGCGGTCGCTTGCGGTGCGACGCGCACCTTCCCGCAAGGCTCGGCTGTGCGACGCAAGCGAGTAGAGAGAGAGAGAGAGACAACTTTCCGAAGCGTTGCGGTGCGTTCGACCAATCAGAAGCCGTAAGAGGAGGGTGACGTTTCCGCTCGCGCCACTCGGCCGACTCGGCGAGACGTATCCGGTTCTCCGCTCCCAGTGCTTGCTTTTTCGTTTTGAGGTGCGGTGGGGACTAGATTCCAAGGCTGCGGGTCGGGGAAGAGAGCGGGATTGTACCAACATCGGACACTTCGGCGCTGGATGGATGGATGGATGGATGGATGTTACTCAGAGCCGTATATGTAGAGAGTTTGGTCAATGGGAGGCGCGGGCAGAGCCAGGGCGTGCGTCTGACTCGGAAAAATTGCTTGGCATGCTCTCTTGACCAACCAGAAGCCGAAAAGAATCCCCTAGCGGTGGTAGCGAGAAACAGTTCTGATCAAAGGTTTATGTTCGTATATGGTTTTAATAAGCGCGTAAGAGTGAAGTGTAGTAACTCTTTGTGGTTGAAAATAGGGTGCACGTGTTGTTTTCATTATGATCATGCAGAAAGGTGTAAGAAACGAATGCGCCGCTCAACTCTGTTTTGCGCGGGCAGAGTGTGACCGCTCGGACGGCAGATTCCCGGCCCTCGGCGCTTGGCGTACGGGTTATGTCGATCATTCCGCTAGACGCACTCTTCCACCATCATTTTTGGATGAGCGTGATTGAAACATCACGTGTACCATATTTTCAGCCATCGAGAGTCACTTCACTGCAGTTATCAGGTTTGTTTCTCGCGACCACCGCCAGGGTATTATTTCCGGCTTCTGGTTGGTCACATTCGAATTTCTGAAGACGCCCTGGAACACGCCCAGCCCGCTTTCAGCCAATGGCGCCTCCTCATTTGTCTCCTATACTTCCCAACGAATGGCCAAACTCTCTACATATACGGCTCTGATGTTACTGGCTATACCCTTTGTATCGGGTAGTAGCTTGCGCCACCTAGCCTAAGTCTAAGAAAGACAAACATTTGATTTGATTTCTCGCGCCCTTCTAAGCCAATTTTCTGCCCCTTAACTATCACCAGGTAGTGTGGGATATCACCAGGATGACCTTCGGGGGATCGGGCAAAAAAACTAAAAACATCACCCCCCGCCTCTTCCCCCCGGCGAGGGAGCCGCCAATTTTCCTCTGGTCAGACCTTGTCGGCGTTACCCACGCACCGGACCCACTGGGAGACAGGGTTGAGACTTTGGGCCGGAGCCACGCGGGAGGGAGTCCCAATTTTCCTCTGTCCCGCCTGTCCCCAGCTGTGCTAGTTAGTTCTGCATCATGCAATTCTGCATCAACATGGCGGCGCCCAGCTATCGCTGGGCGCCGCCATGTTGCCGTGGATTGCTTACTATTGGTGAACCGCTAGCGACAATAGCGCATTCTTATTAGCTCTTTGCAGCGGTTGACTGCGTGTCAGCGCAACTGTTTGTAAGTAAGGCGCAAACGCTCGCAACGCAGCGCGTCCGCTTGCCGCTACGGAACGCACCGCGTCCAAACGCAAATGTGCGTATGGACCTTTATTCTGTCTGCGGAGTACTTGAGTCGGCGGTCGAGCGCGCGCGATCTCCTCGGCGCGCTGATCTTGGGCGTAGAACGGTGGGGCCGCTGCCTCGCGGACGCGCAGCGCCATGGGGTGGCGGTCGTTGAAACTGGCGCGCAGCGGCCAATGGGAACCTCGTTTCTTGAAACTATGACGCGCGCCAGCCAATGGGGCCGAAGTCGAAATTCATCAGCTTTACTCCGTTTCTTTGGGGTGGGGGAAACTAGGTGCCGTTTGGCTAGGCTTTTCGCGTGGTTTCAAAGCTGGAAGCCGGCTTCACTTGCAGAAAGGAGTTCACGTGCCGCGAGGTGCCGTTTGGCGCGGCTTCAAAGCTGGTAACGTCGGCTCCCTCTTGGCACAACTAATGATTAAAAAAAGGAGCAGAAGAGAATGCGAGTGTCGCCGCCGTCGTAGCGTCCTACCTTCTGCCTGCTGTAGATTCCGTAAACTGTCAAGTTGGGGAACGACCTGCAGCAGATCGGGTGTCTGCCGAATCCACCCTGCTATACTGTGACACCACTAGGATCGCGGCCAGTGACAACGTGACACTTCTGTGTCGTCACCGGGCGGAAATCGAGAGTCCACTTTTAAGGACGACGTTAACACACCAGTCGGAGACGCGTTCCAGCCTTAGTAGCCACGTTGTTCGCTGTTGGGAGTACTTCGGATTGCTCGGTTGCTCGCGCCTTGTCTAAAATGCACCAATGCTGTTTTGGATGTGTGTTTGCCTTGGATAGATTGGTGTATTTCGGTAATGTGTCAATTAATACTGTCGAATTCGGTGGTTATTGATGAGAAGACGAACTCTCCGTAAACGAGCACAGATCAAGATGAAACACTATTACAGATCTTACATTTACCGACATAACAGTTTTCTCACATATTCCAAGGGTTCGCAGATCGGTCATATTTTGCTTAAATCTCAGCCGCGAACATCATTTCTGTTCCACTTCTCACTTTAAGTTAGGTTACTCGAACACTTCTTGAACTTGAAGTGCGTGTCGGAGAGACACAAATTGTCGGATCAAAGATTATGACAAAGAGACGAGTAGCAGGTCATTATCTGGCGTTTTTCTGTTTTAGCCGGCTTGTTATTTTCGCTGCTGGCGAACATAGGGTGACCTCCTGCGAATCGCGGGACTGTCTCACATCGAGGCCTTGTGTCCCGCGTCTAGCAGGATATACCAAAATGTTTAATACGTTCCGCATTTCGCACTGTCGTAAAATTCACTATTTAACTCGGGGCGCTGCCGGACAACGGGGCACGGGAAAGCGCGGAGGTCGCTGGTAATCATGTGAATCGCGATGATACGCCATTTTTTATCCTAACATTGCGGGAAGCGCCGGTCGTTCTTGCAGGAGAACTGACGCGCATGAGCCGTTGTGCCTCTCCCCTTGGTGGAAAAGTACTGTTAGAGAGAAATGGTTAGCCAAAGGATGGAAAATAACTTGTTTTAATATTACTTTAAAATTAAACTGTCAACGCGAAAGGGTTGCTCTCAAATACTTTTTTAAGTGAAGACGGTCGCACAAGGCCTGCAACTCACATTCGTCGAAACCACGAAAACATAAGTTTCTAAATTTGCGTGAGAGCACGTTGGAAAAAGTAAACATCGAGAGGAAACAATCAGCGGAAAAAGATTCTCTTCTTTCCTTTTGATGCATTAAGTTCTGCTGCAGCCGATTTCGACGTCTTCAACTTGCACATATTTTATGACGTATCTGCCATTAAAAAAAAAAAAAAAAAAAAAGATATCACTGGGAGAGAAATTTATTGTGTCTTAATTGCCGCAATACAGTCTGCAGGTCCATATATTGCTTCAAGCCACTATTTTAGATGTTTGTGTTCCTCTAATGTATTTATATGTTAGTTGCCGCAGTTGTGATAATGCTGCCCATCTCTCAGCCCCCCCCCCCCCCCCCCCTTCCTGGTCAACATGTCCCGCATTTCACTAGCAGGAAGGTGGTCATCCTAGGCAGACGTCCATCGGTACCTTGTTTTTTTTTGTTTTTTTTTTTCTTAAAGGGAAACTGAAGCGGTTCTGTATTTGAGGAAGAACACCTAGATCGTCTTCATATGGCCTCCAGGGTCACAAATATCAAGATTATTTTTTTTTTTCAATTTGATGCACGGAGGCTGCAGAAAATAATTTTAAAAGTACCGCTGAAGCCCCTCCTTCCCGGGGCGTGACGTCATATCAGGAGTTTTCGGAATCCCCGATCTCGCGCATCTTCAGCGCCCGTCAAAGCCATGTACGCGCACTCTTGCTATTTTCAACAAAAAAAAATGTCAGAAATCGACGTCACAACTGGTGTCAGTGCGGGGCGTGCGGGGGAATATACCTGGCAAAGATGCAATTGCACGCGCTGCTCACACGAGCGATACGCGCTTGGCGTCCCAGAGATTACGGAACTAACAGAAGGACATTGAGGCACCCTATACGGAACTGATCATAGACCTCATAGACGCTGCTTGCACGAGCCCCCCTCACTCACCGCGACTCGCCTCCAGCTGTTCGACGCGCCGGACGGCTGCTATGGTAATTATTCTATGGAATACGTACGTTTCGAAGCGCAGCGTCCAGATGGCGTTCCACCGTACTCTATGAATCACACAGTTATGAAAGGAAAATCTAGATGGCGCTTCAAAGGACGGTAGGCACACTGAAGTGACTGAAAGGGGGGGGGGGGGGGGGGGGTTGTACCCCCTTCTGCGGGAGTTTCTCTACTGAGGTAACCTATACTATACGTTGCACAGATTCTAGTATGACGTCACGACTGGTCGGAGGTTTTTCGTGCTTTCCTGCGTTTATTGTTACATCTTCGGGGAACACGAACGTGATATTAGGGAGTTTTAGTAGACCGTACTTCCCCCTCCGCTAGCCCTCCGCTACGAAGAAACCGCCACTGCGCCTGCGCGCCGATGGCCTTGGCTGTAGAGTTCCGGCTAGCGGAGAGGCTTAGCGGAGCGGGAAACACGGTTTACTAAAACTCGCTATTCAGATTCACGGAGTAAAATAACGTCAAAGTTCACATGTAACTCGTTTTTTTGTTTTTTTTCGGGTAATGTTTTAGTTGTTTGTTTTTGTTTTCTTTTTCTTGGTGCAGTAGACATCGGTAGGCTGCATAATTTCCCGCATTCACTTCTGGCCGAATCATTTTACAAATAATTTTTGGCAGTTATGTTTGTCGCTGTTTTTTTAAACGCAAATTTTTTCTTTTTCTTTTTTTTTTTTCTTTTTTTAACAGAAGGCGTTTACGCGACATTATGCAAGCATAAAATAGGACCATTCTTGCGTAAGGCATCTAGAAAGTCCGCATACAACGCATGGGAGAACATCTTACATTCGCTTATTCATCATACAGATGCCCAACGACCCTGCGCCAGATTATATTACGTAGAGCTGTTTCTTTATTTCTACATTTAAACCTAAAAGTACGTCGTTATCCCGACGGTATAGTGCCATCACCAGAGGAGCCGACGCCACCCAGCGGAAAAGACGGGAAAGAAAGAAGCGGGGAGCTACCGCCTAACCAAGTGTGCAGCAAACAATGACACGGCCTACAGGCCGAAATGTAAATGAAAAGAAGGGGAATGAAATAAGGGCTCGCGGTTACCGTGTTTTATACATTTACGTATGCTCTGTCTATAGCCGAAGCAATGTAAATACTCAAACCGATCGAGACTTCTGTTTTTCTTTTCTTTTTTTTTTCCGCATGCGCAGTTTTATCGCGTCACATAGAAATGTTGGCTCACTGTTACCCTCAGCAAATCTAAACGTATAGAAACGTCGACGCCGAAATGCGCATCGGAAATGACCTAAATACGCCGATCCTATCTAAATAAATAAAAGCAACCTTTGAAAATCATTCAAATTTTACACCCGGCGAAAACTCTGAGAGATCTATGCCCTGCTTATTCGAAAGGAAGAATACCCTCGGCGACTTCTCTATTCGTCAACAGGGGCCAAAAGGAGAGCCTCCATGAAGGGCGACACCATCGGCGACGTCTTCGGCGTGGACGCACCGGAACCAGAAGACGACGCAGAGCAATTTTCAGGTAACATATTAGAATTTCCCATTAAAAAAGGACGCTTTAGCGAATGAATAGAACTTCTCCAAACGAATCCGACGAAGTGGCAGTGCTTTTCGCGTGAAGCCATTTTATTATTTATTTCGTTGGCTTGTTTGTTCGTTTGATGGACGTGACAGGTTTCACGTGCTTCTGGCGGCTTTGAAACAATTATAAATTTCTTGTCAGGCCGCTAATGTTCGTCGGGTTTCGGCATGAGGACAAGCTTTTGTATAGACCCTGATTGAATGAATGGGTGTATGCGGTTATAAACCACTTGAACCGGGCGGCGGCTAGCGCCACCTAGTCGGAGCCTTCGATCGCAGCAGATTAGATAAATTTTTGTGCATGCTCGGGCGGTCACCATTTAGACGTGGGAGTAAGTTCAGTCCTTGATCCCTGACCGCTCCAAATATTATAATAATACCCTTATTTCTAGGTCTGAGCGATTGACTGATTAAAATTCCGAATAATCAATTAATGCCTTAATCGCGATCAATTTTTTTTTTTAACTGCTTAATCGGTAGAACTTAAAGCCGGGTAGACAATAAAAAAAATATATTGCGTTTCTCTTTTTTTTTTTTGTCGCCGTGCTTTTTATTTTTAGAACGTAAACACTACCTTGCTCGTCGGCAGGAAACTCACAAATAAAAACATTAGTCACGGTTAAAGCAGGGCTGGTTCGAGCAAGAAGCCCTTGTCCAGTTTACGAAAAGTCCATCAGGTTTTCTTGGCCTCCTTCGCGAGCGCTGCCTCCAGCTAGTCCAGCGCAGAGAGAGCTCACTTCAAAGACCGCAGGTGGCCGGCAGGTGGAGATTTCCCGCAGCTTTTCTATCACTATACTCGGCGACAACTTTTCTTGGCAATGCAGTGGAAGGTATGTCCCGCGTCCCCTCTCCCATTTCGAGTGTGCGCAGGCTTTCCTCCTCCCCCATGAGGAAAGCCTGCGTACACTCAAAATGGGAGAGGGGGACGCGGGACGTACCTTCCACTGCATTGCCAAGAAAAGTTGTCGCCGAGTATAATCTGTCTGCGCACCCAGTCAGTGACATATCTGCAGGGGGTTTAATGCTTTTTCCCTCGCTTCTCTGGTGTCGACGGCCGCCAGTCGGAGGCGCCCAAGCCGACTATTGGAAATACAATTGTTCATAATTCGTGGGTCAAGTCGGTCTACCGATGTCGTCAATCTTCTCAGCAGGCGCGTAGCCATTAAGGGGGGGGGGGGGGGGAGGGGAGGGGAGGTGTGCCCCCCCCCCCCCCCCCCCCCCCCCGTTCCCCGAAATCTTCCTTTCGGTATCACTTAAAACATTACTGTCAAAAACCGTTTCTAACTGGGTCAACGAAGTGGGTATTTAATTTATTAGCTAAGCAGCTCCTCGTCCGTTCTTCTTGTGTAAACAAATTTGCCTAACTGATTTGGATGTGTTAATGCGGTCCAGCACAGAATTCAATTTCCTCCACGTAACATCTGCCTTATTTGCACACATGACAAAAGCTTTACAAAAATAGTTCGTTTTC